AGAAATAGAATTCCAAGGAATAGACATAGGAATCTAAACTTAGCTCATGATCAAATGTGTATTTTGATCAGCGGGGGGAGAATAATCAATAAAAGATATTGAATCAAATATCTCGCCACTTGGTAATAAACAATATTATATTTTTACTTCATATCATACATATGAATAATTCCATTTTGACTAAAATGATAAGTGTATAAAAGGAAGCAGAAAAGAACTCCACCACTCAAATATGTGTGTGTCTGTGTGGGTATTCATATTTAGAGTTAAATCAATTCATTTAAATTGATCTTCATTTTTTCAAATGGAAGACAAGGAGGTTAGAGCAGATGATCTCTAAGGTTACTTCAGATCTAATATTCTAAGAAATAAGAAATGTTGTAGGGGAGGAAAAACTAGTCTAGTAATCAGGTATATATATATAATCTTTGTTTTCTTAAGTGGCACAGGCGAGAGAGGATGTAGTAAAAGAAATCTGATAATTTTAAAGAGTGCGGTATGTAGACACTTAATTGATCTTACCGAGTCCTGTCACTGTTATTGTTGTCTCTGACTGGATCTTTCCAAACTGGTTTTCTGCTTCACAAATATAGGTTCCTTTATCACTTGCCCATAAGTCTAAAAAGAAGAACTCATTTATTGACTCAATACCATCTATGGGGCATTAACTATATGCCAAACAGTACTGAGATCTGTGGATGGAAATTATGACATTGCCTTCTGGTAGTTCCCATTCTAGGGGAGGAGACACACAGAGAAACCAGCAATCATACGACAGTGTGAAAAATGCTAAAATAGGAATTTCCGACAATGAGCTGTGGAAGCACAGAGACAAGAGTGATTGATCGCATACAGCAGAGTTAGAGAAGGATCCACACCAGAGGTATTATCTGAGCTATACCTCAGAATAGAGGACTGGGGAGAATAGAGAAAGCATAGTTCAAACCTAAAAAGTTACAAAGGCAAAAGCGTGACTTGAAATATCATGGTCTGTTCAAAGGATGGGAAGTTCACCAATGGACACTGCACCACCACCCTGAAGGCATTCTGGAAGTCTGCAAGAGAGATTTTCTTTGTTGGCCCAATGATTGGGGACATTTAGTGGGCAAATACTGGAATTATCCCAAGTCCAGCAGGATTTTTGAAGTTCCCAACTAGAAATGTATGGATTTGATAACTTTGTTTATAATTACATGAGACTATAACCTAATTCTGCATACGTAGAAGAACTTTGGCAATAATTATCCACCATTTTAGAAAATCACTTCATCAGCTTGGAGTTTCTGAGTCATCAATCCTATACTCTTGTATCAGTCTGCTGATCTGAGCTATCGAATTCATGTGATGCTACATAAACATGTAGGCATTTTGAGCAGATAATGCCAGGGTATTTACGTATTGAAATACATGTAGTTTTACTTTCAATTACTTTCCCTTATTTTCCTTTGTACTACATTTTAGAATTAAAATAATTTTTATTATTTTAGATCAAATATATAGAATTTTTTTCAAGATATTAAAAGGGTATTATAAAACATTTGTAATTAAAGAGGATACTGGGGCAATCAGGATGGGGACCACTGAGTTACAAGTTATGTCGGTACAGTCAGGAGACTGAAGTTGAAGAGGTGAGCCGGTGCCTCTTATAGAGTGTGGTTTGGTCTTATGAGCAATAGGGAAGGCAAGAGAATATTTTAAGTAGGGAAATGATTGTAATGTTATAAATATCTTAACCAAAAAAAGCAGTTTAATCTATTCGTAAGTTTTGAACAGAGAAAAATGCAGCTTTCAATTATGAATACCTCCATACCATCTCAGATAAAGAACAATGACAAAGGGTCTGCTCCTCTGTTAACCATAGGCATCTAACTGCCTAACTGCATCTGGTAAATTCAGGTAGTGTCTACTCTAAATAGTAATAAACATTTATTTAAAAGGAAAGTTCAGGAAATCACCCAGATTATAAGTCATGCATTAGTTCTAACCAAGATATTTTCCATATTACCAATTCTTAGACTAATTTGTGTAGAAATACAACATCTACTAAGAACTAAGTTTCTTTTATTTTTTATTTCAGCATATTAAGAGGGTACAAATGTTTGGTTACATATATTGCTTTTGCCCACCCGAATCAGAGCTAGAACTAAGTTTCTAATCAAATTTCCTTCCAGACAATTTAATTTATACAATGGGCAACTGTTGCTCAATATATCAGCCTCTTTTATCCTTTCTTGTCTTTCATCTCCTCTAATCGATATGTTTTCAGGTCTCTTTTTTCCCCCTCTGGGCTATTTCTCATCACCACCATCACTACCTGTGTAACTATTTGAACCTTCCAATTTTTCCTTTCTTTCATTTCTCCTCCTGCCTTGCAGAGGCATTGCTCTGAAACAGAACTTTCCACGTACCTTTTCCTGCCTGTGAAACCTGGAGGGAGACTCCAGTTTTTACATCATCGTCAAGTGCATTTCTTCACCTGGACATTTCAGGTCCTGCAAAATCTAACCCAATCTGAGCTGTACTTCCCAGTAGCTACTTTTGTGGCCATGCACTCAGACAATAGATTGCAAAATACTTGAGGGAGGGACCCTATATTTGACCTCTGTCTTCACTCCAGAGCCTAGCACAGAGCTAAATACTGAAAAACTTGGTTTTGGACAGCTTAATTTATAT